TGTATTTTTTACATCACCTATTTTGATACCCGATGTAAAAACCTTTTCTCAAATGTCTTTTTTTTAGTAGTGGAACCAACCAAATTTTCCACTTTTCTGGTTTCAAGATTGTTAGATTCTTGAATAGCTACGATAACGTGATCATAGTGAGAGGTCAACATTCTCATTACCTTCTCAACTATCATCTTATCAGTTATGGTTTCGCCACAACCCTTAATGAGATGGACCGGTTTTGAACCTTCGACACATAGTCTGTAACTTTTTCATCTTCTCCCATCGATAATAACTCATATTGTCGACGCAAGGTTCGTAACTTGACAATCTTGACTTTCTCACCTCCTTCGTAATACTTCACCAGAATATCCCATGCCTCCTTCGCCATTTCAGCATGAGAGATTCTGTCAATTAACAACATCGACCGCCGTCTGAATGCAATAAGCAACCTTGCAATCTTTCTTCTTGACTTCGTTGTGGGCTTTTTTTGTTCATCGGTTGCATTTGCAGCAAACGCAGGAACGCCGTCGGTAACCGCTTTTAGGATTTCATGGAAGTCAAACAAGGATTACATCTGTTTTTTCCATCGGATTCAATTTTCGCCGTCAAACATTAAAAGAGAATTCAGAATGCCCTTATCACTAGCCATCTTCGAAGCAGTTGATTTACTTGCCCTGAAAACATGATCTCTGACGTGAATTTCTTGAAAACTCGATCAAGAATAAAAACCGTAATTCTTGTATACCAATTTGTTAGTGCGTGAGACACTTTTAGAGAGGGAAAAAAGAGAATAATAAAGAAAATAAAATTTTAGATTATCAAATTGTACAAATAATAATACAGACTAGATTATTGATATACAACTCTAATTAAACTTGTATCTACACAACTTAGATTATATTTAAATATTAAATCAAATTAAATATAATATTTTAATAAATTTAATTTAATATTTCAACGAATATAAAAAATAAAAAAAAGTTGAATCCGAACACGTGCTCGGATTCGTTAGACTATAGAATCGTCACGCATATCAGAATTAACTTAATTCAGTTAACCTATAAAGGATGAAGAGATTCTTGAAAAAAGATATCCATTGTTTTAGGGATAAGGTCTCAAAAAGTGTTAACTACCTCCGCACAATTTATACTACATCCATAGTCCATTGACCATAAAGCAATTAATATTCACTTTTATTATTAGTATAAAATAAATCCGAATTTGGCACCAAGATTCTCCTTTAGTTGAAACTGACGCAGACATGTTATATAATTTGACCAAAAGTGTATTGATAAAATATTCAAAGTTATTGCAAATCAACGTCTTAGGTCGTAGTACACTACTTACTTACTACAGTTGAAAAGGGAAGTTATTATTGGAATGAATAGCAGACTTCTCAATTACCCGTCAAATATGACTGCACGAGGGCTAACTTCTCGATCATAACTTCTTGTTTTTTCTTCCTATTATTCCAGCTACCAACTATCATTTGACTATGCATACAAATTATTGTTATTGTTATTAGATATATAGATTATATTTTTTATATATTTAATTTATATTTTATTGAATTTAAAAGTAGTGCATTGTTAATATAATATTATTTATTTATTAATTAATTCGGAAATTAATTACTCACATTTTACTGGAACAATCTTTTTATAAAATTAAAAAATTTATTGTGCTTACTGTTAAAGTGTAATTGTTATTTTAGATATATTAATTAAGGTGATAGATATATAATCTCAATCTTCAAGGATTTTTAGAAAAGAGCAAATTATTTTAATCAATTTCGACAATGCTATAATTTAATAAAATAGGTGGATGAAGTAATTTATCTGATATGTTCTAACTGAGTTAAATAAATACAAATTATTGATTAGAGTTTAGTTTTGATCATGATATTTATTTATATTTTAAATCTTTTGGATTTTGTTTCTAGACTGAGATGGATTGAATATGTTCTGACTGTTACAGGATTTAAAGGATCTTTTCATCTGTTACAATACCTATAAATTAGAGAAACATTACATTTCTCAACAAATTAATGTTATATAGACCAATTAAACTGAAATTTATGCTATAAAAAGATGGGTGAAAGTTGCATAAGGGAGGCAACGATGAATAACATAAAAATAAAAAAAGGAGGCACGTGAAACTCTTGAACCATCAAGAATGGTGGCTATTCATCCCGGTTAAAAATCCACAATATATCAAATTTCTTATACTTTTGTGATTCCTCCTAACCAATTTTAAGGGGATTAATTAAAGGGTTAATACCTATTTTCATCCCTGATATATGGGGTGTATTTGAAAAACTCCCTGCTAAAAAAAAGTTTCAATTGTTACCTTGACAAATTTTAAAAGTTTCAGTTTTTACCTTGAGGATGCCACATCACCTAAAAGGCTGATGTGGCTTATATTTTTGTTACATTTGTAAGTTTTTGTTATGCCATGTCACACAATACCAAATAAAATGTCCAGAATGCCCTTTTCTTAAAATCCCAAATTATTTGGCAAATGTTATGTTTCAATTCAGACCCTCCAAATTAGGGCGCAGCCATCCATCTTCATTTGTTTGCAAAATTATTTTACAAAAAAAGCCAGTTTCAATTCAGACCCTGCGATTAGGATTCTTCATCCTTGCAAATGGGTGTGTTTAATTTAGTGTTTCATCATGGGGGAAGTTTCGTGCAAGACGGCCATACGTATTATAGAGGAGGTAGTGAGACTACTGTTGAAGGTCAGGACGAAGATAAATGGAGCTTTTTTGAAGATGTTAGTCTGGTTAAAGATTGGGGTTATGAAGGTTTTAGGCTATGGAGAAAGATTTCGCAAACGGATGAAGGGTTTACAAATGTTGTTGATGATGCAGGAGCTGTAGAAGTTGCTAAGCATTGTATGTCTTGTAGGGTTCACGGCGATCTTTGGGTAGAACACGGTGTAGAAGACATGATGACCAAGGTTCTGGTACCTAATGTTGATGACTTCAGCACCTCTAGTGGAGATGATAGTACTGGTGACTATGTTGATGCAAGCCAATGTTTCAATGACAGTGAAAAGGAAAGAGTGATTGACGTAGAAGAAGAGCAATTTGAACAAGTGGAGGTAGCTGTTCCAGTTAGTGGGAATAGGGTGGAGGTCGAAGGGAAATCATTTAGATTCAAGCGTTGTGCATCCAAGGATCCCAAAAAGATGAAAGAAAAGAGCAAAAGGGACAAGGTCAGTGTTTTGGTGCCCAAAAGTGTCTTAGGATCTTGTTCAAAGAGGGCTACAAGGAAATGTGAAGATGTGGATTATGCTAGTGAGGAACTTGAAAGTTCAAATGCTGATGAAAGTGACATGGATGACAAACCTTCCAAGCCAAAGTATGAGAAGTTCAGATCAGAGCTGCTTAAGAAAGACTTTCAATTCAAATTAGGTATGGAGTTCATTTCTCTTTCTGAATTTAAAGATGCTATCAGGGATTGGTCAGTATTAAATGGTAGAGAAATAAGGTTTGTTAAGAATGAGAGCTGTAGGGTTAGGGTTGAGTGTAAGAGTAAATGTGGGTTTTTGGCATTGTGTAGCAAAGTGGGAGGTAGCCTCACTTACCAGATAAAGACTTGGGTGGGGACCCACACATGTGCAAGGGTATTAAATAACATATCTGCCAATTCCAAGTGGGTCTCTAAGTTAGTGGTTGAAAAGAGGAAGTCACAAGGGAAAGTTAAACTGTCTGAAATTATGTCTGAGCTTAGACAGAAATATTCAGTGGACATTACCAAAGGGAAAGCTTGGAGAGCCAAAGCTATGGCTGAAGAAATAATTGAAGGTGATGCAAAGGAACAGTATAACATGTTATGGAGATATGCAGCTGAGTTGAGAAAACATTGTGCTGGGAACACTGTCAAACTAAATACTGAGAGACCACATCCAACACTACCACTAAGATTTGGTAGATTTTACTTCTGTTTTGATGGATGCAAGAAAGGGTTTACCAAGGGTTGTAGACCATTTATAGGGGTAGATGGGTGTCATCTTAAGACACAATATGGAGGTCAGTTGTTAATTGCTGTAGCAAGGGACCTGAATGACCAATATTATCCTTTGGCATTTGGTGTGGTGGAGACTGAGACAAAAGAAAGCTGGAGATGGTTTATGCAATTGCTAATGGAAGACATTGGAGAAGAGAGAAAGTATGTTTTTATTTCAGACCAACAAAAGGTACAAATATGCACTAATTACCTTTGTTATTCACATTTATGAAACATGCACTAATTCTGCACTAATATGCACTAATTCTGCTACTGTAGTATGTCTTAATTCTGGTACTGAAGTATGTCTAATTCTGCACTAATATGCACTATTACCTTTGTGACATAGTTCTGGTTTATACAAAGTGCACTAATTCTGGTTTATACAAAGTGCACTAATTTCTGGTTTATTTCCCTATATGCACTACTTGATTCTGGTGCTAATGTTCAACATTTATCAAAACCTGCTGCTAATGTTACATGCCTTGTTCTGTTGCTAATGTTCAACATTTATGAGGAATATATAAGTTGCTAATGTACATGCTTTTTTCTGTTGTCTTGCTTTTTTTAGGGACTTGTTAGTGTCTTTGAGGAAATGCATCAGCAAGTTGAACACAGGGTCTGCCTCAGACACCTGTATGCAAATTTCAAGAAGAAATTTGGAGGGGGAGCTGCCATTAGAGACCTGTTATTGGGGGGCTGCAAAGGCTACTTACTTCCAGGCTTGGGAGAAGAAGATGAATCAGCTTAAACAAATTGATAAGAAGGCATGGGAATGGCTGATGGGAGTGCCAACAAAACTATGGTGTAAGCATTTATTTTCATTTTACCCTAAGTGTGATGTTTTGATGAATAACTTGAGTGAATCTTTTAATAGTACAATATTACAAGCTAGGGATAAGCCAATACTCACTATGGTAGAATGGATTAGGAACTACGTGATGAATAGGATTGCTAATAGTGTTGTTAAGCTTGATAAGTGGAAGCACAATGTCATGCCTAATCCTAGGAAAAGGCTTGATAAGGAAACATATCTTAGTGGAGAATGGCTGCCTACATGGAGCAGTGGTGATTTGTGGAAAGTCCATCACCCATATAATGGATTGCAGTTTGTTGTTGATATTGGGAAAAAAAACCCGTACTTGTTGTTTTTGGGATCTTGTGGGCATACCTTGTAGGCATGTTGTTTCTGCATTACAGTATCAAAACTTAGATCCTGAGAAATATGTTGACCCTTGTTACATGAGAGAAGCTTACAGGGCATGTTATGAAAACAATGTTAGTCCAATAAATGGCATGGACATGTGGCCAACTGTGGATGCTGAAGAATTGTTGCCACCACAATACAAGAAGGGACCTGGAAGGCCTAAGAAACTGAGGTTTAGAGAGTTGGATGAGAATGGTTCAAGGATGAGGAGGGTAGGTGTAGCATATAGATGCACGCATTGTGACAAATTTGTCCATAATTCTAGGAAGTGTCAAGCTAAGGAGCAAGATCCTAATGCACTAAAGAGAAAGGTATTGTGTTCATGAATCTGTTACTGAATAATATTGTGTTCAGCATATTGAAATGTCTTTATTTATATCTGTTTCTGAATAATGCAAAGAAAGACACCCAGGACCAAAGTGTCAAAAAAATCTGATGGGACTGTGGATGAAGGCCCAGAGATGGATGCAAATGTTGATACAACTGCAACTGGAGGTGGAACTGTGGATGAAGACCCAGAGATGGATGCAAATGTTGATACAACTGCAACTGGAGGTGGAACTGTGGATGATGACCCAGAGATGGATGCAAATGTTGATACAACTGCAATTGGAGGTTGAACTGTGGATGAAGGCCCGGAGATGGATGCAAATGTTGATACAACTGAAACTGGAGGTGGAACTGTGGATGAAGGCCCAGAGATGGATGCATTGCTGAATAATATGATGGATCTTTATGAAGAACAACAATCACAAGTTGACAATCCCACACAACCTACTGCTATGCAACCTCCCCCAACACATGAATCACAACCTGCTGCAATGCAACCTCCCCTAACACATGATTCATAACCTGCTGCAATGCAACCTGACCCTGCTGCTACTAATGTCAAAAAACCTTCAGCTAGGAAAAAGGCCGTGGCCGTGCCTTGGAAGCGATCAAGAAAGAGAGTCAGTGAAAGATTGAAGGAAGTGAGGAATGCCAAAAGACATGGTGGGCCTGGATCAACACCTGATGCACCTTTGACCATAGGTGAAGAAACTGGTGGTAGTACCTCAAAGAAGATATCAAGGAAGAAGAGGAAGGGCATTGATCAGTAGTTGTGCACATAGTGTGCTATTTTGTAAAATTCAATTTGAAAGTTTCCTGTGTCATTTTGTTACTTTGACTTATTATCAGAACAGGCTTGGCTTAAGTTATGTATCATGTTATTGTCATTTTGTATCACAGATGTACTTGACTATGTATCACAACAGATTTGCTTAACAATGTTAAAGTCATTTTGTACAACAGATTTGCTTGACTATGTATCACAACAGATTTGCTTAACAATGTTAAAGTCATTTTGTACAACAGATTTGCTTGACTATGTATCACAACAGATTGGCTTAACTATGTTATTGTCATTTCGTACAACAGATTTGCTTAAGAAAAAAATTACTTAACAACAAATTTGCTTAACAACAGATTTTGTACAACAGAATTACTCAACAGAATTGCTTAAGAACAGATTTCCAAAATATCAGAACAGATTTCCAAAATATTCCAAAACAGTTTTACTTAACAATATATCAGAACAGACTTAAGCAAATATATTCCATAAGAAACCATAAGAAAGAAATATATTCCATATTCCATAACTCAACTAACCAAAACTCATGAGAGTAATATATTCCATATTCCATAACAAAGAAATATAATTCATGAACTAAATTTTACATAGGTTACAACTTCCTAGAACATAAGCCACAACTTCATGAATTTTTACATGAACTAAGCAAGAAATGAACCAAAAGACAAATAAACCCAACTAAAACATAATTCAGCTTCTTTTTTAACTCATCCATTTTTTTCTCCATGGCTTCCATCTTCAGTGCGATATCTCTCTCCAGTTTGCTCATCAGTTCTACTGAAACTACATCCGAATGGCCGTTATCACCGAAATCATCAGAAAATTCATCATCCCAAACAAATGCGTCGCAGTCATCTCCTTTACCCCAGAACTTACACTTCCAGTATTTTCTCCCGGGATTTGCAACCGATTTTGAAACAAATAACTTCATGGAGACATTGTGGCCGCATTTGGGAGTTACTCTACCATTTGAAGATAAGCTTGAAGTAGAACAATTTGGTTGACTCATGTTTATGAAATCAAATAAAACTTAAAGATGAAGAGGAAAGCAAAAGTTGGGTTGTTGAGATGAAGATGGTTGCGCCCTAATTTGGAGGGTCTAAATTGAAACATAGCATTTGCCAAATAATTTGGGATTTTAAGAAAAATGTAGAAAGGGTATTCTGGACATTTTATTTGGTATTGTGTGACATGGCATAACAAAAACTTACAAATGTAACAAAAATATAAGCCACATCAGCCTTTTAGGTGATGTGGCATCCTCAAGGTAAAAACTGAAACTTTTAAAATTTGTCAAGGTAACAATTGGAACTTATTTTTTGGCAAGGGGGTTTTTCAAATACACCCCATATGTCAGGGGTGAAAATAGGTATTAACCCTTAATTAAACAATGTTTTTTGCAAAAATATTTGGAGACCACTATATAGGGTGGTCTGGTTATGTTATTATACCTCTGACTCTAAAAAAAATTATGTTAATATACATCTAACAATTTGTCTATGATAATATATCTCTGACATGGTCAAATTAATATACCTCTGAACTTAAGCAAACTATGTTAATATATCTCTAGCATCCTTGTCAAGTTAATATACCTATGACCTTAAGAAGCTAAGTTAATATATTTCTGGCCATGCCAAGATCCACTCAGGGCTTGCCGACCTACTTACGCCTTAGGTTGAACGATTCAATTACTTTTCAATGATGTGATGCTCATTAAGGCTACCTCTAAACTGTTCCCAAAAGAATAAAATGAGATGATTATAAAAATATGCCAATCATTCGCGTAAGTAAATAAAATTTCAACAGTTTGAGATCTCACGGGGGCTCTCCGACTTCTCTATGTCTAGAACCTACTGGATTGTATGACGTAAACATGTTGAGATTCCATTGGGGCTCTTTGACCTCTCTATGTCTAGAACCTACTGAATTCTACAACGTTAATAGGTCGAGATTCCACCGAGGCTCTCCGACTTCTCTATGTTTATAACCTATCATGTTCCATGACATCAACAAGTCGAGATCCCACTGAGGCTCTCTCACTTCTCTATGTATAAAACATATTGTATTATATGACATCAACAGGTCGAGATTCCACTAGGACAATACAATAAATAACGTTTTTCACGACTAAGGTTTCACAATGTACAAAACAAAACTGCGGGTACATGTGAAGGGAGCGCATTATTTTATTTAAAAAAATAATGATAAATCAGTTACCTCAGATATTTAAAAAACCAACATAAATATATGATCAAGGTTTGATGTTCGATTCCTAACTCTTGCTATTTAATGTTTGTATGGAACCAAAAAGGTGTTAGAACATAGTTTAGTTCTACAACTTAGTAATAGTTTTGATGATAAGAAATACATGATATATATATATTGTGATACGGTGGGAGAACTGACTAGTGTTTTGCGTTCGTATTCGCGCTTGTGCGGTTAGCAAGAGTCGCCACCGACTTTTTATTTTATCCTAAGGAAAGGTTAAAAAGCACAGCAAAAACCTTTTGAGATGTTTTCTTGGGTTCGGGGAGTAGATTATAGAAAGGGAAGGTATTAGCACCCTTTCTATCCATGGTTATCCATGGGCTCTTAGTTACTTGCTTAGATCACTTGCCTTTTGTTTTCAATTGTTTTAAATGGTGCTTGAGTGTGTGGGTTTTAAAAAAATGTTTTTGAAAAGAGGCCAATGTGGTGGCTACCTTTGTAATGATCCATGTGGGGATGTATACAAAGATGTACGTCTTTTGAAAAGGTTTTTTGAAAGTTGTTTTGAAAGTGTAGTGATGTGTGGTTTTTTGAATTTAGGCAAGTGTTTTGTTTTGCAAGTTGGTTCAAGTAACTAAGAGGTTATCTACTCCTAAATTTCTCAAAAGATTATTGCTATACTTTAACCCTTTTAACAAGTTTGCACCACCATTGTATTTGGTGGGCAACCTTGTGTTAGGATGTGAAAAGGGACAGGCGCGGGTCATCGTTTAGACCATAATTGTAACGACGTTAAATGTCTTTGGGCAATTTCTCTAAGGGACTTGATCATTTGTTTTGTTTGTTTTGGAAAGTTTTGTCGAGGGACTATGATCATTCAAATTGTTTACTTTGCCCAAAGATGTTCAACATACAATATGGCCCATTTATTTGAAGGCAACAAGTGGAATACCCTAGGGGTGCAAGTGTGAGATGTGTTGTTTATTTTCATGCTTGTTTGTCTTGTATTAGGTCAAACTATTTTTTATCGTTTTTTCGCATACAAACCCTAATTCTAGCATGTTATTATTTAGAAAGCAATAAAGTGCGAAATTAAAATTACTAAGCTATTACACAACCAAATATGGGAAGGGGGGTACAAATGTTCAAATGGGGATATTGACAAGAATTTAAATCTAGATTATTACAACAATTGGATATTTGCATAGTAAATAAATTGCATAATTTAAATGTAAATAAAATAAATATGTGAAATGTAAAAAAGAAAGTTTTTATGTGTATGAGAAAATATTTATGTAAAAGGAAAAAGAAATAAAAATGTATTTATTTTTTAGTATTTTGAACTTAGGGTAAAAAACCCTAATTTTTATATATATATAAAAAAGGTATTATTATCTAATTTAATTCTACTATTTATTTATTATTTATAAAAAATAAAATAAAATGAAGTGTATTGTGAAAAAGGTATTTTTTGTATCAAATGTTAATAAAATAAAAAGATCAAGTATTTTTATATCTTTTTCTTAAATATATTAATAATCAAATATATATATATATATATAACCCTAAATATGTATTTTTCTAAAATAAATATTTAAATATTTTAATAAAAATAAAAAGTAAAGTATATTTTTTTTTGTGTAAAATATTTTCATAAAGTAAATAAAATAATAAAAATGTATCTACACTATTTTCTATTTATTTCAACAATAGTATATATATATATATTTGTATATAACAAAAGAAATAAACAAATAAATATGCCATAAATACAAAAAGTGGTGGAAAAAATATTTTAAAAATTTTAATGGTATGAGAAAAAATAAACAAAGTCAATCCAAAAAGAAAAAGTCAAAAATGTCAAAAAATGAGCAAATGGGCTCAGGGGGGTGTAAACCAAAAAATGGGGTGTGAAAAGGAAACAAATCCAGGCCCAGCCCAGATCACTTCTTCTTCAACCTCTGTACAGCTTTCTTCACACAAAACACGCGTTTTCTAACTCTGGATTCCTGGACTTTCAAGCAAAACTCATAACATGAAAAGTGTAGAGCATTAAGAGACGGTTTCAACCATATAAAGAACATGACCTATCTCTCCCAGATGAGAGAGAATTTCTCTCCCCCTCTTTTCTGACCTAGTTTTTCTACCATTTTCAGAGCTCAAATTCTCTTCACTCAGACAAAAGAAATGAAAAGTAAAGCTATGTACATGTTCAGGGCTATGAGTAGGACTTTGTTTCTTCACAAACTTAAGACTAAAGATGCCTAATAAGAGAGATACGAATTCAAACTTTTACCTGTGCAGTTGAACTTCTATGTGGAGAATGAGAGACTTTCAGTGCAATGTAATGATTGGAAAAGCTTCCTTGAAGTCCAGGGATGCTTTTTCAATGCTCACTTTGTCTTGAAACTTCTTGTATCAAGCTATAGAACTTCACCTGCAAGTCAAAGATGTGAAAATGGTGGAAGTGGTTAGAGCAACTACAGATCGTGCCTTAGCTTCTGGATAGCTTGCATATGTTGTAAGGAAGGTAGAGGAACAGGTTTGGACAGAAATGCTTGAAGGGATTGAGAGATTGCACTCAAACTGCAGGGGCACCCCTGTTTGTGCAGTTTGAGGATGATTCTGAGATGGAGGGTGTTTGAAAGGGAAATGGCTCGTGCAAAAGCTTCAATGTGGTCTATGGAATGTGTTTGATATCTTTTGTGCTGTGTTCTTTTGCTGATATGAGAGATAGCATATGTTATGGACCTTTCT